GCAGGAGGAGGAAGAGAGAGAGGAGAGGAGAAGGAGACAGCAAAAGTAGGAACGGTAGGAGGAAGAGGAGGAGGAGGCGAAGGCACGGAGGTTGAGAAGTGGAGCAGGTGTGGAAGGAAAGGGCAGGTGAGGAGGAGCAGGGCGATGATGAGTAAGAGGCCGGATGAGATGGAGAAGGAGAAATCATCATAGCGATGATCAGGATAGGAGGCGAAGAGAGGGGATGATGCGGAGAGGGAGCAGGATGATGATGAGAAGCAGGTGGAGTTGGAGGAGGAGGAGGAGGAGGAGGAGCCACGAGAGGGAAAGGCAGGCTTGAGACAACGCAGGCTTGTACGATGAGAAGGTTGGAAGGTGGGTGGTCACGGTGAGAACGAGAGAAGCGGATGGGTCGCACGGTGGATGAAGGGAATGCACGTGCCAGGCAAGGGGCAAGGTTCGACGAGCTGGGCTCGAGGGCTGGTCAATATTCACACAGACTCCATCATCCGCCACCGCCTTTTATGGCTAAACAGGAAGCGATGTAAGCCTTTTGCCTTATGCAGCCTCACCTGAGGAGCCGCCTCCACATCGCCGGAATCGACCAGGCGCTCGACGAGCTCGAGACGAAGCGGATGCGTGAGCGGTCGATCCCGTGCACCGTGGTCGACTATCTGAGCATCCAGCCCCCGCGCACCACGCGCATACAGGAGCTCGACGCGCCTCCGTCGAAGAGGGTGCAAGAGGATGGCGAGCAGAAAGTGTGGTTCTCCATGCTTGCACGCGCTGTCGCCGTCGTTGCCTCGTCATGGCGCGCTCCTGAGAGTCCCGCGCCTTCATCACATCTTCTCCACCAGCGTAGGCCAGCGGAAGTAAAGTGTGGGAGGGACCGCTTGCTGAAGTTGGCTGAACGCCAGCGGCAGTAAGATTGGACCCTCAAGCGCCTATTTTGGATTCAGTGTTTATGATCGTTTTCTTATTCATTGTTTTGCCGCTCGGCGCGGGCCCTTGCAACCCCCCCCTGCCCCCCCCCCCCTGGAGTAGACCCTGGCTGTTTTTGGCGCCCATTTCGAGCAGGTTGAGCCTCCCCCACAGGACGCACGGTTGCAAACAGTCGCAGTAAACAGAGGTCCGGAGCCAGACCCCCCCCATTCCCTCCTTTGGGTCCAATGTCGAAAGGCCGTGTAAGAAAACGCTCACGTTCAGTGTTTGAGGGACGAGCCACTTAGCTTCTGATTGTGGCCAGTTGAGCCCTAGGGGGTCCGCACGCCACGCTCACGGATGTCGTTCCAGCCCTTCCCCTCCTGTTTCACGCCTCCTCGGCTGCACGCTTCGAGATGCAACCTCAGCGGCATCAGACTTGCTTCGTTTTGCCGTGGTCGGGGGGGAGCGCCTGGCTATGTTTATGCGCAATTTCGTCGTCGTTGCCGTGTTCTCGTGGGCTTGCTCGCGTGTTGTCCGAGTTCCCTGCTACTTGTGCAGCCGCCACCCAGAGAGAGTGGGGAGGGTTAAGGAGAGGCTGAGGAGGAAAAGCGATGAGAAGAGAGAAGGAAAGAGGGAACTTGGAGGAGGAAGAGGGGGGGGATAAGGAAGAAGCAGAGCCAGATGACGAAGGGTAAGGACGTGAGGACGCACCATAATCACCCACGACCGCAATCGAGGCACAAGGCTCCAGCACCGCCATGGCGAACCTGGCCAATCGAGGCTCCTTCTCGGCTGGCCAATCGGGGCTCCTTCTCAAGCCCACCCCATCGTGGGCTTCCTTGTCGTGTGGCTCCCAGGAGGCGGATTGTACCTCCCCGTGGGCCTTCCCCGGCTGGAGCTCCTTCTCCGGCGTTTCGATTCCTCCGGTTCGATTCGAGTCGAATTCGATGATTGATTCGATTCGACGTGGGATTCCGATTCCGGTTCCGATTTCTCAATGGAGATTTACTAGCCTGCCGATTTCCGGTGATTCGACATTTACCGACTCGGCTGCCGATTTCTGCCGACCCGATTCATTTCGATCGCCGATCCGACTCATCGATTCGATGCTGGGCTCTCCTCTTCTCGCGTGCCCGCCCCCCGTCCCAGCCGGGATTCCCCCTCCCTGGGGTCGCGGGTGCGTCGGGTGTGCGCCAGTTCCGTCGAAGAGCGAGACCCCCCCCCCCGCCGAGTTTGCGGAGAGAGAGGCCCCCGCCCACGCCGACGCACGACGCCCTCATCTTCGCCTAAGGCGAGACGCAGAGCTCCTCCTCCTCCTTCCTCCTCCTCCTCCTTCCTGCTTCATGCTTCCCATCTCCTCCTGCTATTTGCAGGAGGGGGATTAGTAGAAGCACCATGTGGAAGTACACCTTCCGAGGTCTCCTCGATCTCACTGCCTCCGCCCATGGAACAGCAGCAGCCTCATCCTGTTCACGTAGCTGGTGAAGTAGGCGAGCGTGCTCGGCAGCACAAACAGCAGCATCATGACCGTGCGGTGCCTCTAGCTCAGCAGCCTCCCGTGCGTCCTCCTCCTCGGTGACTGCAAGTTCCGCCTCCGTCTCCCGACTTAGGACAGCCTCGTTTGCAGTGGTCTCCTCCTTATGCTGAAAAGCGTCGGCCATTGCCAAGTATGGGTCGCATGCAGCATCATCTCTTTCGTCGCCACACGTTTCCAGCACGTCAGCACCCCGCTCCAGCACACCATGGGATCCTTCTTCGGCCATGTAGGCAGCACCGTCTGGAGTATCTGCCTGCACCGTACCAATGAAAGGATGGTCAGGAACCACATCAACGAACACCAGCGTCACCTTCACCAGTGTCAGGGACACCGGTCTGAGCGGAGCTAGATTTCATGTAATGTAAATTCGCCCTGCTCTCCATCATGCCACACAGCGAACACATCCAACAATCGGCCAGACAGACACGGGCGGCCCCAGCGGCCACGATCCATTCTGGTGCTTGTGAGCCTGGCGGTGTTGGGCAATCCAGAGGTTCCGAGAGATCGGGCTCGCGAAGATCAGATTCGCGGGCGCGCTCCTCCTGAAGAGTCTAATCATCAGCAGTCTTGGCCGGCGTTTGGCAGGGATGGTGTCGTTGCGCTTGTTCCCGTCCCTCCATATTGACCGTATGCCTGGCGATCACCTTCGATAGCAGGTTTAAGTTCACGGCCGCCGTCGGCAAGCTTTTTTTGGTCGAGGCCCTCCGCAATGCCCAAACCTTCGCCAGCGGCATAGTAGGACTCGGCCGCGACCTGCCTGAGCGTAACCATTGGGACCTGGGCTGCAGAAGTCTGTGCGGCCTACACTCGTGGACGAGACGACGACCTTGCCCGCTCTGGTCCGTACAAACCTTGTTGGGTGCTGGCTGGTGTAGCCGAAGGCGCAGGTGAGGGAAACGGTCGCTGGGAATCTTCGACTTTGCGAAAGCCAGAGGCCACATGCTTCTCAGGGCATCCTCGAATGAGGATTTCGGTTTCCACAGACCTGGCAATCCCATCTTGAGGTATGCTCGCCAGCGCTGCGAAGTTCAAGATCACTGGCCTGATGTTTGTAGTATTGAGCTTGCCGCTAGTCGATCTCGGTTGATCTCCAGTCTTTACCGTTGATGGATATACTCAGCGCCAAGGCGCTGCCTAAGCTTTGTGAGGCTCTGAAGTTGATGTGCAGTGGTAACTTGGATATTCGCCCCCATCTTCCCAGCCTCCATGTCAAGGGTCGACCTCTGCTAAGCCTCCAGCTCAGCTGCGTGTTGCTTCTGGGCCGTGGGCAAACGCGCGCGCTGAGCCTCCCTCGGCTCGTAGTCCCCGCTGAGCTCGATCGTTGTCAACTTCGCTGCTCGTTGGTGGCCCTGCTTGCACTGCTCGAACTCATTTTGCGGGCGCTGTTCTGTGAGGGCACCTGTCGGTGCCACCGCGGCCACACGAGTGTACATCTCATGTTCAAGGTGATCATCATGTTGTTGCGCCGTCGTGAAGGTACACACCGCTCGGGAGTCTCAATATTGAGCTGCTCAGCGCGCTTCAGCTTCAAGTTGGCGAACTCGCCGCTCTGCGCGCAGAACTGCGCGCTGCACTTGTTGCTCTCGATGGGCAGGCAAACTCCTCTTTGTCGCCCAGTATCTCGGCGGGAGCTGCGGGCTGTAACGCCCACCATCCCCCGTTTCCCCGATTGCAATTTTCATCTGAACCGTGACCTGCTCGGGCGCAGTCGCTGCCAAGGTAACTGATTGGGGCGTGCCTCTGCTCGGGAGGTGGCCATCGCTTCAGCTAGTCATAGGGGGGCGGAACCGCGCTAGTACGACCTGGTACAAGACATGCATCGTACGCTGGATTATGTCTGCCTAACTGCGAATCGATACCAGGGCCCGACGCCATTGCCTGCTCCGCAGCAAGGGAGGTCGCACAACAAAGATGTTCGCCGCACATCTATGGGTAAGGGAACTCCTCCTGTGCACCCCGTCGTAGAGCCGATGATCATCAAGGTGACGAGCAGAAGGCGAAGGTGGCGGTTGCGGCGGCGGTGGCGGAACCGAAGAACAGGATGGGCTTGAAGTACCTGCCGCCGAGTGCTTCCTTCAGCAGGTCCGGTAAGATTGGAACAGTTCAAGGCTTCAACCTTCTGCAGTGTAGATGTGATACATTCCTCATGAAACGCTATTCTGGTCTTGCACTCCTTCCGCTGGATCCCTGTCGGCTTCGAACACCATACCATCCATTTCAACACTGAGAGCAGCTGGGATAATGGGGCACCGACCTGAGGACTTGAGATTATACACCTTTCCAGTGGGACTTCCAAGCTGGCTCGCCTCCTGGTATATTTCGATAGATCGGATGCTTCGCCGCGTTCTCCTCCGTAGGGAGCACGGTGGATCGATGCGTGTCTTGATTTACTCCTGCTGCTGCTGAAGACGCCCCTTCCCTTCCCGTCAGGGCCCAACCGTATGTGCCATCTGTCGACGCCGCGTATTTTTGCACGCCTGGCCCCTGCAGTAGTAGTCGCCAGGCTCACTGGAATCGTTGCAGAGAGGCTGTAAGACCACCTCCTGGGTACGAGCCGCCACCTGCCTCGAGCGACGGTGTCCCGGCACTCCCCGAGCGGCGTGCTTGCGAGGAAGAAGGCGGGCCTGGGCGCTCTTGGCGCGGACTCGAAGGTGCCGGGCCGCTTCTGATTTCACCTTCCGACGGTTCATAGGCGAGGTCCTGAGGGGGGAGGAGTGAGGACAGGAAGGGATCTCAAGGGTGGTACGTTGTTTGAGGCACCTCGTCCTTAGGACCCAGTTGTGGCTGTGGCGGCGGCCGCGCTGCCACCGCCTGCGCGCGGGCTAGCCGCGCGCGCGGCCGTCCCACCCCGCGCGCTCCCTCCTCCTCCTCCTCCTCCTCCTCCTCCTCCTCCTCCTCCTCCTCCTCCTCCTCCTCCTCCTCGTCCTCCTCCTTTCTCCTATCTCCTCGCTCCTCTCTCTTCTCTCCTCTCTCCTCATTTCTCCTCCTCCTCCTCCTCCGCCTCCTCCTCCTCCTCCGCCTCCTCTCTCCTCTGTCCTCTGTCCTCTCCTCTCCTCTCTCCTCTCTCCTCTCTCCTCTCTCCTTCCTCCTCCCTTCTTTCCCTCCGCCTCCTCCTCCCCCTCAGCTTCCTCGTCCTCCTCTTCCATCTCCTCCTTCTCCTCCGCCCCCCTCCCCTCCTCATCCTTCGAGGCGGCTCGGCAGCGCGGCAGCCATCTGCCCGTCGACCCAGGCCCCCAGCGCGGCCATGATGCCGTACGCTGCGCCGCCGTGGAGCGGGCCCCTCGACGGGGCGAGGCCCCTCGCGGGCAGGGGCCTGCGAGGAGAACCCGTGGAACCCCCGAGCAGACGAGCAGCGGAGGGAGGTGCGAAACGCGCGAGGCACCGGGGGAGCCCAACACGATCAGCTACAGCTGCAGCGAAGCGATCAGGGCGAGCGATGAGGAACGGGGAAATTGGAGCCAGACGTGCCAGGCTACGGACCTGTGAAAAGTGTACGCGAGAAGTCGGAAACGAAGCTGGAGCCCGACGCGATCTGCTACAACCTTGTAATCCGGGCAGCAGTGGCGGAGGCTAAGCTAGAGCCCAATTTCACACAGTGGCGGAGGCTAAGCTGGAGCCCAATTTCACTAGCGTTCTCCCCTCGCCCCTGGTTGCCACGGCTGGACCAGAGCAAGCGGAACGTAGCTCGGTTGCGGAGGCGAACATGAAGCCACACGTGATCAGCTGCAGCGCCGAGGTCGGGCCCGCGATAGGTGAGAAGCTGGAGGCGAAGGCGAGACCAGAGCCCAACGTGACGAGCTACAGTGCAGAGTGCCCGCGTGAGAAGCGGGAGGCGAAGACAGAGCCCAACGTGGCCGGCTACAGCGAAGCGGTGAAGGAGTGCGAGGAGGAAGCGGTGAAGCTGGATCCCGACATGCCCAGCCCTAGCCCCGTGAACGGCGAGCGCGAGAAGTCAGAGGCGAAGATGGAGCCCGACACGATCCGCTACAACGCCGCGATCAGGGCAACAGTGGCGGAGACAAAGCTGGAGCCCAATATCACTAACGTTTCCCCCTCGACCCCCCTCGCCACCGCGGCTGGACGAATGAGCCAGACGTGACCAGCTACAGCGCAGCAGGCGAGAGAAGCGAGAAGCCCGCATGCGAGAAGCGGGAGGCGAAGTTGGAGCCCGACATCGTCAGCTCCAGCGCGGGAACCAGCGCGTGCGAGAGGGAGAAGGCGAAGCTGGAGCTCGACACCCCGACCCACAGCTCTGAGAACAGCGGGTGCGCGAAGACGGAAGCGAAGGTGGAGCCCGACCCGATCTGCTACAGCGCCGCAGCCAGGGCGTGCGAGAAGGAGAGGGCGAAGCTCGAGACGGAAACACCCAGCTGCACAAGCATGGCGACGTGGCGGGCGTGAGCCGAAATCTCCCGCAAATGGCTAGGCCCGAGCAGGAGGCAGCGCGAGCAGGAGGATGAGGCGAAGCCGAAGCCCGACGTCGACAGCTACAACGAGGAAATCCCCGAGGATATCCTCGAGCAGGCCACGCGCACAGCGAGAAGTGCGAGACGTGGGAGGCGAAAACCGCGCCCGACATCATCAGCTACAGAGCTGGGAGCAGGGCGCGCGAGAAAAGACGCGAGAGTCCAAGAACGGCCTCGAGAACAGAGGGGTGGGAGAAGAGAAAGCATGCCGCGAGCAGCTACAGAGCTGCGATCGCGCGGGCAAGCGCCGAGACGAGCGCCCGAGCGCGGACGCCCCATACCTTGGACGAGAGCCCCTTGAGAATGCGGACATACCTGGGGGAGGGGCAGGCGCCGCGGGCGTAGACAGCCACTGCGGCTGGGGGGGGGGACTCCGAGGGAAACTCCTCCTTATCCTTCTGCTCCGTGTCTTCCCCCCCCCCCCTCCCCTTCCTCATCCTCATCCTCGCTCCGCCTTCTCCTCCTCTTCCTCGTCCTCCTCCTTCTCCGCCTTCCCCCCTCCTCCTCCTCCTCCTCCTCCTCCTTGTCCTCCTCCTCCTCTTCCTCCATCGTCTTCTCCCCCTCCTTTTCCTCCTCCTCCTTCTTCTCCTCCTC